TTTTGTCGCTACTATTATTATTAAAATTAATTTGTGGTTTCAATTAACTTCACCATAACACAAATGTTGTCTTGCTTCACCATAAATTAAAACGATATCTATCAACTCCGAGTTGCTATACACGTTAGCCATTTTTGACACTTTAAAAAACTAATGTAAACACTATCGCAAAAACGTTAATACTAAAATCGGATTTCAGTATTCGGAGTCGTATGGGGCCACGATGACAGAGAACGCTTTGCGCACAGCGCAAACGCGAATGACGCTAGATACTACAGTAGCCCAGCGATGTAATGGTTGAAAATAATATAACTTCAGTAATTTTTTTCTCGAAACTACAAGGATTTTACAAACATTTTTTTTCGATATTGATTCAATTTTTCATAACGCATCTATTCTCAAATTTTTTTTTTGATAAGTTGTGAATCACCCTGTATATAAATTGTTACAAAATACGTGTTTGCTATAGGGGCATTCCACGACCAATCTACCACTTTTAACCCCGACCCCTTTCGATTTGGCTGAAACTTTTTTATTGTTTTCTACCCCATTGAAAACCTCTGGAGATTTTTTTCAAATTTTTTCATCCAATTCAACAAAAGTTGTGAATTTTTGAAAAAAATTGCTTTTTTTTTAAATAACCATAACTTTTTCAAAACTTAAGTTATCGGGACGTTTTTTTTTCAAAATTTTTGTTTTTAAATGTACTTTCTGAAAAAAAATAGATCAAAATTATCTGGACTCATCTTCAGTGTTTTTTACAATTTTCGAAAAAAAACGAAAATTTCTCGATGAATAAGTACCATTTTTGAATTTTTTTTTCTTATAAGAAACACATTTTTTATATTTTTTTTTCAAATTTAGCTTATTTCACATAAAACCATTTTGAAAATTTTTGAAAATGTATATAGAATCTCAAAATTGAAAAAAATGTTCTAATTGATGACAATTTCAAAAAGTCAAAAGAGGATGGTTTCAAAATGATTTATTTGAGTTTAAATGCGTTGCATGTCCTTTTTTAAAGCCCACACTGTTCGTCCAAAAATAGACCAAATAACAACTTTTTTATTTTCTTTTTTTTTTGGATGAAGTTTTCGAAAAAATACAAAAAAATTATTCAATAAAAACAAATCGAATTTTTTTTCATATTTTTCATATTTTTTTTCAATTTTGGGATTCTATATACATTTTCAAAAATTTTCAAAGTGGTGTGAAATTAGCTAAATTTGAAAAAAAATATTTTTTTCAATGAATAAAAAATTAGAAAACGAAAAAACGCCACTGAAAAAAGTTGAGGATTTATAAAATATGGAAGTTTTTTATAAGAAAACGAAAATTTTCAAAAATGTTAATCGAAAAATTTACGTTTTTTTTTTCGAAAATTGAAAAACAACAGTGAAGGAGGTCTAGATAATTTTGAGCAATTTTTTTTCAAAAAGTACATTTAAAAACAAAAATTTTGAATAAAAAAACGTCCCGATAACTAAATTTTTGGAAAAGTTATGATTATTTTTTTTAAAAAAACTTTTTTTAAGTTAGGGTGAAAAAATTTAAAAAAATTCTCGGAGGTTTTCGATGTTTCAAAACAATAAAAAAGTTTCAGCCAAATCGAAAAGGGTCAGGGTTAAAAGTGGTCGATTTGGCGTGGAATGCCCCATTTGTACCTATGTGAATTTATTCAGAGGCAAAAGCTGGGAGGATCCCAAAAGACAATATTTTCCTTATAATTAATGACAAACCTGTACAATAAAAGAATAAAAAAGGTTCTTATAAACATGATTGTTAAAATGTTTAATTTTTCAGATTACAGTCAATTAGTACCTTAACCTTAATTTTTTTCAGAAAATTAAATTGAATCTTGTTTTAATCGAAATTTTGCAATTTTAAAAGAAATTTAAAGAATTTAAAAGAAAACAAGAGGCATTTTTTGTGCGGAATTAACAAATCATTTGCAATCATAGGCGGGGAAATTTTTTCTAAATGGAGTGGTCATTCCCTACCACAGCGCTGAGGCAGTTAAAGAAAGAGATGATTTTTGTTATTTTACATGCTGTCACTAAATTAAATCAGTTTGTTGGTTTGCAGATGATGTTTCGGCCTTTTAACACATATTTTAAAAAATCCATATTTTGCATGTTGGATATATTAGTTGCGCTCGCATTATAATTTAAACAAGTGTTTCTCTTAAACACAAAAAAGTAGTTCGTTGAGGCAACGACTAGTAAGCTATAGAATTGCGAGTAGGTACGCCGATAGCCAAATTTAACAGAAAATTTTATTTGTCTTCCTTGTGTCCTCTTCTGTCCTACCCTAACAGACCTCAATTTAACAAATTGTGAGCCTGCTGTTCGGTCAATTAAGGTAAGGTGTTTTTCTTAACTAAATACAGTCGATTTTATCTTAAACAATAACCAGGTAGTAATAAAAAAACCATTTCAAAAGTAAGATCTTTAACACCCTGTAACATTTAAACGATGCATTTTTGGACTAAGGTAATTTGACTTATATTTCATTGTTTTAACCTGAGGAACCTTTGGTTTCTGTATGAGCACTGTTTTCTGTAATAAAGGACCATAAATGTTTTAGATGGCAAACTTATTGTCCACAACTGTACACTGCAAAGTTTGCATTACCAGATTTTGCGAGACTGGTTTTCAAATAAGCTTTTTTTCCAGCCTTCGTGTCTTACTAGGCAAAATTATCATATTAATTTATGTCGCCAACAAAAAAAAATAATACAAAACTGTATAATAACGCAATCGGTTAGATCTGAAAGTCTGACCCGAATATTATATATGGGCGATTGCGCGGACATTGGAACCTGTTCGGTCTACGAGCGAGTAAATGAGTATATGTTGGTGTGCCGACTACCTTACATGTTCCAGGTACACTAGAGTGAGTTTGTTGGACTGCACTTTGTATTCTAATCACGTCTTGCATAAAATTGCACCAGCTGCATGTGCTTCACAGCGCGAGAATATACAATTTCTCTTACAGTTAGTTACTTAATAAATATAATTGGCTGTGGAATATCAACGGTAGTTTTTCTTAAAGTACTGTTCATATTTAACACTCGGTGCAGGGCCGGCGGAAGGAAACAGTACAAGCTGACGTTTCAGACATTTTAATCCGTAATGTTTTTTAGGTAGATATACAGGGTGTTTGTAAATAAGTGCGAAATATTTTAAGGGGTGGTTGCCAAAGTTTTTTTGTGAAAAAAAGTTCATATAGTCGTAGGTCGAAATATGCTTCGTTTCTGAGATACAGAGTGATTAAATTTTATTTAGATAGATTCAGATAGTTATTCTTTTAAATCTAGGAATATCGCAGATTTAAATCCATTAGATCCTGTCGTGATCAACAATTTTTTTTTGATGATATTCTCTGACATTTAACAAATTTTAATTTGAATTGAATATGTAACATATGGGAAAGGACCATTACTCATACGATGAAAATGAATTTACGAACAATATTATCTACGTCAACGACGATAACTTATTAAAAGTAATACTGGCAAATAAAATTTCTACTGAAAATTCTTCTATAAGGCATATTTCTTCTTTAAGACATATTTCTTCTTTCTATAAGAGATATTTTCATGTATTATCGAGTTCCTATTTCTTCACTTTATTTTCTATCGCATACATATTTACACTATTGCAATAAATACTGATAAAATTTTGTATTTATTTTGCACGTGCCCTTCAATTTTATAACAGCGACCAAAAGAAAAACAATTTTTACTATTAACGCTAAAGTGGGCGACAATATTTTCGACTCATGGCCAGTTTGAATAGTTACAAGTCATGGTCAAAACTTTTCAAGCTTAGAACCGGAATTCCCTTGAATCGTCATTCAATGACTCAGTAGAAGCGGTGAAGGATTTTGTTTACGTTTCGCAGCTATCTAGAGCGGTTAACTTTGCAGTCAATTATTAGTAACGTTGAAGTAAATAAAGCTAGTTGGGATTTTATTGGCGTGGATTATCAGTTTTAGTAGTGATTTTTTATCGAATTGAGGTTTAGAATTTAGTATCAGTTCGCTCCAACGAGTGTGAACGGTTGCTCTGTAATTAGATTTCTGTCCAAGTTAACATTTAGATAGATATATGTGTAAGTATAAATTATTAATTGAACATTAACAACAACATAAAAAAATCATTCATTAAGAAGTTTCTAAACCTGCAGATGTTTTTAGAACTGTCGATATTCCATTTAAAAAGTGCTAAATTGTTTAGTTCTCTTATTCTTTACCATAAAGAGATGTTGACAAAAAAGTTAGATACATTAAATTATGCCTCTAAAATTTGCTTTCGGAAAAGTCATACGTTTTTTTATTCTTAATGATTACTGTTTATTTATTCAATGATTACATTGTATTTAAGCTTTATATATACAATAATCTGCTATCTTTTTATGAAACAAGTACCTAATTTTGAACATATTCAAGAAATAATAATTTAAAAATTACTCATGTTACAAATAAAATGGAAAACAAAACGAACAAAATACTCAATGTTGCCGAAATTCTTATAGTGAGGGTATCTTTTAAGATACTGTTAAGTATTTGCGATGTTTTTTAAAAACTGACGCAACCTGTAACTGGCAATTGAACAACTTTGCAACTTTGGATTAAGGGCCAATATTGGACCAATTTATTATATTTTGGCCTCAATATTATCTTGTAACTTTCGTGCTCCTTCATTTAAGTACACCCTATAGAATGTAGACAAATACCGACGCTACCAATGCTTTAGTGAATGCAAATCATATTCTGACAATTTTTCCTTCGAAATAATGATTTTCTGGCTCTCACGACCTGTGCTGATTTTAAAAGTAAATATATATTTTTTTATAAATATTAATACCCTGTATCTCGAATACCGTGTGCGCAGGAAAAAAGTATATAGAGCAAACTCTACTTAATTTTTGGTAATGAATCTAGTCATGCAATTTATGTAATTAAAGCGTGAAATCACCCTGTATATTTTGTTTCAGAATCCAAAATGATAGCACTGCTCATTTTCGTCTTCTTCGCTTCATCGCAAGCACTGCCAAATGGAGCGCCTACCACGGTATGTCGGAGCATGCTTCCGAACCACGGTGGAGGTATACCCCCACAAGAAGGCCCATCCCCGTACACGATAGTGCCAAAGAGACAGGGAGGCAACGTTTCAGTGACGCTCGGTTCGTCGGTGGGAGGTCGTATTCAGGGATTCTTGCTCCAAGGAAGGACCGTTAATGGTGATATATTGGGGGAGTTCCAATTAGGACCTTCCGCTGGAGGTCACACCATTGACTGCGCCGAAGCTGGGGATTCCGTCACACATGACGACACTAGTGATAAGGAATACATAGAGGCTACGTGGATGCCGCCTTCGGGATATGAGGGAACGATTATATTCAAGTGAGCGATTGAAATTTTTTTAGATTTAAAAGTTGTATTGTAGTTTCACTAAAACACACAAAAATGTGAAAGTATTATAGATACCTTCATATCAACAAAAACTAACCAGTACTGTCCGAAGGGTCCTAGATTAGGCGGTATCTGTTTTGGTTTGGGTGAATCGTATATCCACGTAAATCGTAGATTTTTGGCTTTTTGGCTTTCAAATATCACTAGAAATGAAAATTTTTCTATGTGCATAAAAAAACGTGGGCTTAACTTTTGGCGGCACAATATGTTAAAAAAAAATCGAAAAATGTCATATTTTTCGTCCTATTTCATTATGTATCTTTTCAAGAGATGATTTTAGGCGAAAATGGAAGAGGAAAAAAATGTTTGTAATTAAATTTTTTACAAAACATGACTAGTTACATATCGAATGAATCATGATTATTATGGTAAACATCGAATAAATCGCAAAAATGGGGTTAAAAAACAATACTTTTTAGGGAATTTTTTTTGGGTATTTAAATTGGGTATAGGACCTTTATACTTGGCTCAAGAAATTTTGGAAAAAAAATTGCAAATTTTCAAAATTTTGCACAGCAAAAACCAAGGCCCTTAGATACTTGAAAATTTAATCACATATAGAAGGGCTCTCAAGCTTTCAAACGCTTTTTGAAAAATCGAATCCGTCAATTAGGAAAGCTCTGGCGCTTGTTTAAACATTGGTCGAATTTTTGTACTTACAAACAATTAGAATAACTTTTTGAATATTCAATCAAATCAAATTTTTTAAAGCAGGTTTTAAAAGTTCTTGGAAATACGCCGCTTCTTTAAAAAAAACATATCGATTGGTCAATTAGTTACGTAGTTATAGCCGATCAAAGTTAACCGTCATTAACACTAATGGTACTGGGACATCCGGGCTAATTTTTCGAAAAATACCCTTGGTATTCCGAGTACTTACCAGGTCGCCCTCTCTGCTTCCCCCATCACCATCACCCTTACGATTTTCTTGAATTTCTCGCTTGCATAAATATTTTAAAACACGTTTTAAAGTAGGTTGACAATGAAGAAAAGTATTGTAATCCTAGACCTGGTAAGTACTCGGAATACCAAAGGTATTTTTCGAAAAATTATCCCGGATGTCCCAGTACATTTAGTGTAAATAACGGTTAACTTTGATCGGCTATAATTACGTAACTAATTGACCAATCAATCTGTTTTTTTTTAAAGAAGCGTCTTTCTAAGAACTTTTAAAACCTGCTTTAAAAAATTTGATTTGATTGAATATTCAAAAAGTTATTCTAATTGTTTGTAAGTACAAAAATTCGACCAATGTTTAGACAAGCGCCAGAGCTCTCCTAATTGACAGATTCGAATTTTTCAAAAAATGTTTAACAGCTTGAGAGCCCTTCTATATGTGATTAAATTTTCAAGTATCTAAGGGCCTTGGTTTCTGCCTTGCAAAATTTTGGAAATTTGCAATTTTTTTCTCAAAATCTGGATTGCAAAATTATTATGCAAAATATATCGAACCGATTTTGATGAAATTTGGTGTGATGATTCTACATAACATGAAGTTTTCTTGAGCCAAGTATAAAGGTCCTACACCCAATTTAAATACACCAAAAAAATTCCCTAAAAAGTATTGTTTTTTAACCCCATTTTTGTGATTTTTTCGATTTTTACCATAATAATCATGATTCATTCGATTTGTAACCAGTCATGTATTGTAAAAAATTTAATTACAAACATTTTTTTCCTCTTCCATTTTCGCCTAAAATCAACTCTTAAAAAGATACATAATTAAATAGGAAGAAAAATATGACATTTTTCCAATTTTTTTAACATATTGTGCCGCCAAAAGTTAAGCCCACGTTTTTTTTATGCGCATAGAAAAATTTTCATTTCTAGTGATATTTGAAAGCCAAAAAGCCAAAAATCTCCGTGGATATACGATTCACCCAAATATGGCTTTTTGAAACAGATACCGTTTGGACTATCCTGGAAGTTTCACCTGTCAAAAAATCTTCTTCTATACCATTTGTCCCATTTTAATTGATATATGAACGAATGATTGTGAATATCTCGTCAGTGAAGCCTCCGATCCAAAAATGCTGTTCAGTTCATTGGGGCAAAACGGCTGCTTACCTTGAATTTGACCTTAACTGTGACCTTGGAGGTCAATTGAAGGTCAAATTCATGATTTTAAATGGTATCCTCTATTTTTTACCTTGGAAATGGATTCGGCAGAAAATTTTACATCGGATGTAATCTCAACTTTGACCTTGTGGTCGAGGTCAATGTCACAGGGAGATAAAATGAATTGTCATCCCCTGAAACTACCCAAAGTCGATGTGATTTTCAACAAGGTATTCGATCATAACCTTGGATTTCACCTTGACCTTGTCATTTAAGGTCATTTGAAAGTCGACTATAGGAATCAACCTTATTGACCTCTACAGATGATTATCAGGATGTTCGGGACTATGGATCTCGGATTTAATCTTGAAGGTCATTTGAAGGTTGATTACAGGAAATTTTCTCAATAAACAATTAAATGAACAACGGTTTAATGAAATATATAGGTGTAAGATATTCGTCGCATTATTTGTGTCTGCGACCTAACACCTATGTATTTCGTTAATCTGTTGTTAATTTAATTGAGAAAATTTCTTCTAATTAACCTTCAAATGAGATTCAGCGTTAAATACAAGATCACCAATCTATGGTCCCGAACATCCTTAATAACATTTGTGAAATTGACCTTAATGAAATGACCTCATCAAGGTCAATTTCTGTGGTCCGCCTTCAACTTATGTTGAAGATAGAGGTCAAGATCAAATTGAATGTCGTGATTGAATAACTTGATAAAAATCCCATTGACTCTGAGGGCAAACATCTTATTCCGAAGTTACTACAGATATGACGAATTATTTGAATCGATGTGACCTTGATGGCAAGGTCAAAGTTGAGATCACTTCCACATGTAAAATTTCTCAGAGTAAAAACCTTTTATGGTAAAAAGAGAGTAAAAAATATTGACCTTGAAGGGTAGGCACAACATTCATTTAGGTTATTTTTGGATCGGAGGCTTCACTGACATTCACGTATATCGATTAAAATGGGACACTTGGTATATTTGAATCATTGGACCATTTCTAATTAAAACTGAGTGTCTATTGAGTTTTTTCATAGAATGCACTTTTCATATTCATTGTCGAGTTTTTTGGACTTTTACTCGTGAACTAAAAAAAGCTGAAGAGTCGCGAAAGTTTGGTTAAAAATAGTTCATTCAAATCTGTAAAATAATATTGTCCTTAACGTTATATATATATAACTTTTTCCAAAAATTGTTATAAAAGTTTGACATTTTAATTGTTTCCCAAGTATCAAAAAGGTTGTAAACTGGTACGAAAAATACTTATTGAAAAGAATATTTTTTAAAGAAAAAAACTTTAGAACAAAAAAGTGTTTTCATATAGTTGTTACTTATTAATTTAACTGGATACATTGTCTTAATAATATGGCTACTTATTTTTCAAAATTTATTTATTTCGTTTGAATAAATTTAACAACTCAAGCTAATTAATTACTATTATTTTTTTTGAAAGAAAATTGCACATTGAGGTTCCCAATATTACAATTATTGATCAAATTTGATCCAGACATTTTTTTCGCAGAAGTGAGGCAAAAAAAAATAATTTTTTACAGTTAAAACAAAGGCAGCTTTTTCTCAAGTTTTATTAAAATATCTACAGAAATGGCTCAACACTTAATTTTAATCAAATGTTTCGTTTTAACGTGATGCTTTATTCATTTTTAATTTTACTAAAATTTAATTGGCAATGCGAAGGAAATAACAACATCGTGGTTTCACCCTATTTATTAAATTGATGTTGACTGACCCAAATGTAATCAGTATTTTTAATTTCAAATGACAATAATCATATTCTTCTTATGTTAGTTGCTCCAAAAATCTTGTACCGATTTTGACTTATCTTTTAATATCTTTCCATTTGAATATGTTGGAAGATTGGCCTCTAACTTTGATTCCTTTGTTTTTATATTCCAAATGGTTATTTATCGGTCTATTTATTAGCCTGTTCCATTCACTTTGTTATTTATTGCGCAGGTTAAGAGTCACTGCATATGAAAGTTATTGCCCAAAGATGAAATTAAAAAATTCTTGAATATGAAATAATAAAGAAATTACCATTTCTAGAAAAATGTAATTACCGCTGCATAAAATTAACTTCAGCAAATACGAGTTTTCTTATGCTAACGTATGAACTAGTGCAAATCAACCTATAGATCTAAATAACCTATGTAGAGTTGTCGTAGGTGCTGCAATATTGATGGAATTAATAAAGAATACCCTGAAAGCATATTCGATGAATACAGGTTTTTTCACTTTCTTTAAAGTGGCATGAGTAATACACGCCTTGTGTACGTATACGTACAATGGTTTTGTGACGTTATTTACATTCATTATGCCGGAATTATCTAAGTTATAACCTTCACTTGAATATTTTCTATAGAGGTATTTGAAATACCGGGAAATACTGTTTCTAAAATTAGTTCTCCTCAAAAAGTGGTCGTTTACTGAAATAATATTATATTTTATATATCACATTTCCTATAAAAAAGTCAGTGCTAATTGTAAATAAATAAGATTATATTTATCTCCGTCCTTTAGTTTTTACGCATTAGTTGTTAAAATTTAGGCAAACGAAATACTGATAACAGAATTTTAACCAAAATAGTGTAAAAAGCTATAGCCAAAGATACGTTATATTTGTTTATTCTATTCGTTTGGAACTGATAGTGGTTAATAATCTACGACTTCCTTCGTAAAAACGAATTCCTGGCAATATTTAGTTTTGTTTAAATAATTTATTTAAGCATTAAAACAATCTTCAAAATAGATAAATTACTACTATTATCATTACTAGGCTTAGTACAGCACGGAGTTTAACAGGACCGTAATCAGAACTCCGCACGTGCACTAAGCCTAATCATTAATCAACAAATTAACAACACATTTGCATCAGTGTGCGGATTAGGCACTGTCATCCACCATGTGCTGTTGATCAAAATTACAGCCATAATCTAGTAATTAGAAAGCTATCAGTAATTTGAAGAGATAGAAAAGAATAACGTATTTCCAAAATTGATCATTTTTAATTGTTTTTGATGCAGATTGGGACTAAAGATTTCAAATAAATACAAATTCTACAAAATGTTTTCCTTTATCTTTTACTGTGTAATTAGCTCTTTTTTGTTACAGTGCCACCATAGCACAAACCTACACCACCTTCTGGGTTGGGGTAACTTCCCAACCAGTCCAGATAGACAAACGTTCCGTCAGAGATCCCATCCCCAGCAATCCCTTCAGACCAAACCGTCCAACGTCAACCACCCCACCTAATTTCAACCCGGAGCCACCAAGACAAGCGTCCACCGATTTCGATCCCTTCTACGACGGCTGCGGGGTGACCAAGTTGTGCTTCGGTGCTCAATCCGCCAATTGCGTCAGTTCGAAAAACTGCAAAGCTGCAGTGGCTGTGACGGTAACTGGTGATGTATATGATTTTGAGATGAAGGCTGACAGCAACGCCGCTTGGGTGGGGGTTGGACTCTCTGAAGATGATAAGATGGGTGATGACTCTGTTATTGAGTGCGTGAAGAGGGGAACTGGAGTAGCAACGTACATGTCTTGGACGTCTAGGTCGCCTTTTTCTGCAACTAGGTTAAGTAATGTAAGTAAATGTCAATTTTAAATGCGAATATACTGTTATAGACGTATTATTAAAATATTAGAATTACTACCGATTTTGTAGATATAAGAAGTAAATGCACCGTCCATTTCCGTTGTGGCCACCCGTAAGTCATCTATGGACCTTCATGTTCCTATAGTGACTACCACACTAATATTACTTAGATGTTTCTGAGTTCAGTTAGCAGTTCGACATTATCCTTATTTGATCTTCAACTTTGGTCCTGGATCTAAAAGTTTCTTAACTTTTCTATGCCCAGAACTTGTTTTTTTGGCATCATTTCGTGTCTTATATTTCAACAATTCCTACATGAGGATCTTAACAATGCTACTGGCAATGTCGCAGAAATGTTTAGACACATGAAGGGATGTAAATAGGCCTTGCTCCTTCATCTGGTCATTCACGTTACATCAACTTCTTAACCTTCCTTACCAAAACATTCGATCACCCCTTATAAAAATAAAATTGTTTGCTTTTAGAGCTGCCTAATTAATTCTGTTGCATAATTCATTTCTGCTTTCAAGACTGTATCATGTGTTCCTGCAATAAATACGGCTTCAACTTTAACCTTAACTCATCAATAATTATTGATAGTAATATTTGAAACAAGTGCGAATAGAGAAGATATTTTTGAGTGTGGGTTAGATGAAACCTAAATATGTGTTGTCACTGCTAATCAACGCGTACTGATTCAAAACATTGCTTTCTAGGGCACTTATGAAAGCAATACTAGTGTCACGCTAGGCAAAATAAAGTTTTAACTAATGATATTGTGAAAAATAACTGCTCTGCGGAGTAGAACATTGTCTATTATTGAATTACACCCGTAAAGGGTTAAAACCATTTGTCTGTGGAATCACCAGACATAGACAGATTTTCAAATATAATTCAATACTGGACGAGACATTAGTCCGCAGAGCAGTTGTTCCCCACAACATCACTAGTTATAAACTTTATTTTAGCTAGTACCGATACTAGTGTTCCTTTTCCAGTACCTACAGGTTAGTAGGTTACTCTCTGTCAGTAAGTACACTGTACTGCTTTTTGCCAGACATTAAGTATCAGTCAGAATTAAAATATAATACGCTGTAGATTATATTTCACCCATATTCAAAATATGATGATGAAAAAAGATCAATCAGCGGTTGGTAGTGTTGGGAACTAATAAGTTGGAAACTAATCCATTTCTGACGATTCTACTGACGGGTTTTATATTCATGATGATTTTTCTTTCATTCTTCTTATTTTTTCCTTAGATTTATTATTACAGCTACATTTGTCGTTTTTTCTTCCTTCTTTATTCGGAGAAATGAATGAAAAAAGAAAATGAAAGAAACAAAGATAGTATAGTTATTGACAAATTTGGTAGCATAATTAAATCTTCGTTCTTTTCTACTGACATGAGATAAGAGAAAAACATAAATTAGATATAAGAAAAACTTTAAAATCTAAAACTAGTATAATATAAACTCTACTAGAAACTACTTATAAACGAAAGTTTCTCTTATTTTAGCCTCAGTTGGGAATTCAGCTTCTAAACAGCAGTATTGTTGACGGAGTTCTCTACTGTAAAGTTCGCAGGGATGCCGTTACGCTTGTAAATGGTAAAACTTTCGATTTAATTAACGATAAATATCATTTACTTGTGGCTTCCGGAGCTTCTGTCACCGGTAGGTACTATTTGTAATCCTATTATTTAATGAATTTTATGTATTTGCTGATATCCTTCTTTCCATTTTCCAAACAGAGCGGCCATTGTTATTCATAACATTTCATTTGTTTAGAAACTTCCGTGTCTTACCATGGAATCGCATTCCTAGCAAGCGGAGACAGACAAGCACTCTCAGATGTGTCTGCCTTAGCTGGAGCTTCCATGATACTTATACGTCTTCATGGGTCGTTTATGTTAGCCGCATGGATTGGAACCGCCTCTGTTGGTATCCTTCTGGCCAGATACTACAGACAAACGTGGGTTGGAACCAGTTTGATGGGCAAAGATTTATGGTTTGCGGTAAGTACTTTTTTACTATCGCTTTTGGAGTTTTGGAGTTTTTTTTTCGGTTTCCAGTGGCATAGGATTTTCATGGTGCTAACCTGGGGTTTGACGATGGCAGCTTTCGTGTTGATTTTCGTCGAGCTTAAAGCGTGGTCAAACGAAAATAACCCCCACGCCATTTTGGGAACCATCACTACAGTTTTATGTTTCTTCCAACCGATTGGAGCTTACTTCAGGCCACATCCTGGTACTCCGAAGAGGGCGATCTTCAACTGGGCACATTGGCTGGTAGGGAATGTGGCACACATAGTAGGAAGTGAGTTGGGAACTAATTTTCACCACTAATCCATATGGAACATGTCGTAACAATTACAATTATTTTCCAGTTGTCACTATTTTCTTTTCCGTGAAGTTAAGTAAGGCTCAGTTGCCAGATTTTGTGGATTGGATACTTGTAGCGTACGTGGCAGTTCATGTCGTAACTCATATTGTATTATCGGTAAGTGCAAAACCTAAATAGACCAAATAAATTATTTATTTTTATTTTCTGATAGAATTTAAAACTTTTATACAACATTCAAGTAGGGTAAATTGGAGAATTCAAATTTCCCCCCCATCACTTTTCACTTTTTCCTCTCCCCACCACTTTCCCCTCCCACAAACCGGTTTTTAAGCTCTCATTGGTCGACATAAAAAAGTGGGAGTAGATTTCTAACTCTCCAGCCTCCCATTGGTCAGTATAGACTTCCTCCGCCTCTAATTGGTTGAAAACTGGTTTGTGGGTTGGAAATGTGATGGTGAGGGGAAAAGTGGTTGTGGGGAGAAATTTTGAACTCTCCAATTTACCCTACTCATTCACCTTAATTAGAATCTCATTTTTGATGATAAAACTGGAAAACAATTAACATATCTTCTCTTTTGTAGTTAATGGGTTGTATTTCCGAAAAGTCTTCAGAAAGTAGAGTTACTTCTTTCCCAATGAAAGATTTAGGAGGTTCAGGAAGAAGTTCTGCCTATGCTGATAGAAATGCTGATGCTCCGGTGAGTATATTTATACTAAAACTAAATCATTAGTCTTAAATATCTTGACATGTATTTTACTAGTCACTAAAACAAATTAATACAGCGGTTAGGTAACAAACACTGTTTAATAACGTTGTTATAAGAGTGCTTATAAAAATTATTTTTATCTTATTTTCCGGTATAGCCTTTGTACTTATGTTATCCTGTCCATAAAAGAGCTTGTTAATTTGTAAACTCTTAGCTGTGGAAATGTTTCTTCAAGTTTCAAACTAGTCGCAGATACATATTTACTAACCGCAAAGTAAGAAACGATCATTATGCTGGAAGCTGTCTTTATCTAGCATTCATTTCTCAAAAGGAACATGTCCAAGAATAATTGAAATTGTGATTCTACTCGATATATGCTAGTGACCAAGATCATGGTCACAAAATATTGTTGCTTCATAACAATGCCCAATGCTACAATCTGAAATTTGATGTTTTACAATAGCTATTAGACTCTTGGATGTTTCACACATTTGAAGGGTGAGAAGTTTACAAACGACAATGAGGCAATTGAAGTTGGTTAAAAGCTTCAACAAAAATCCATTTTGTAAACAGCATCCAGAAGCTTATGGGCAAGTAGACCAAGTGTGTAGAGTTCGAGTCCTAAAAAGAGTTGTACTCGATTCATTTCCTCAGTTTTTATTTCAGTTGTTTGTTAGATGTTGCTTGCATTAGTCAGCGTGTTTATTTTGCACGCATAAACTACTATTTAAATGGTTTTATCTGTATAAATCATTACATAATTGTTACGAAAGTTGTGATGCTGATGTTATATATGTACTCGAGGAAATGACTTGTTTGGTAACATTTAAGAAAAATTTCTTATATGAACTAGATCTTAGGGTTCCTTTGTACATTAAAGAATTAGATAGAAAACTATTACTAAAAGATCAATACACTTTGATGATATACATTCAGTCACTAATCCCTTAAAAGAAAAAATGCAAATCGTTTTAGAAAGAAATCCTCGATAAATTTTGGAAAACATATGGAAAGTTTTAGCTGGCACACGCCAGCAGTTACTACCAGAAATATTAATATACAGGGTGATTCAGAACTTATCCAAAAAAAAATTTGGATGTTCCCTGGACTCTTACGAATACAATTTTATAAAGAAAAAATCAAAGAGTTCGAAAATGATTTAAAAATATACTTCTGCACGGTACTGGAAACAGGTCCACTGTTAAACCTGACCTCGTACAATGCAACCAGCATGGCATGGCGGCAAAGTGTGATAAAAATGGAAAAAAACTTGAAAGAATTTCGCAAGGAAAGGAACAAATAGAATTTTATAGCATCATTTTATATCAGCAAATTCAACTGCTTTTGCCACTATTGTTATTATTAATTAATAAAATTAATTTGTGGTTTTAAATAATAAAATAATTTGACATACCTGGTGTTACAACAGCTGTTTTTTTTTCCACCGACGTGTAAATACATTTGGGTCCGTCTTACTCAGTTTCTACGAACTAACACAAATGTTGTCTTGCCTCACCATAACACAAATGCTTCACCATAATACAAATGTTGTCTTGCTTCACCATAAATTATAAATTTGGCTATTTACTAAATATTGCGAGTGTAACTTAGTGCCGATCGGGGCTTTAGTTAGCAAAGTAGTTGATTTCCACAATATTAGGTATTAGTTAAAACTTTAGTGCGCTACTGGTCTTACTTTCATAGTATCCACATATTCACTATTAATAAATCAATGTTAGTGCTAGTAGACATTATTAACGGTGACCATAAAGATATAACAGACATTGTACGTTATATCTCACCCACATTCGATCATATCGATAGATAGATATTCTCATAGCTATATTATTCTTTGGTTACGTCATCTATGGTACATTGATGGTAACTAATAAGCCTGAAACCGGTCTGTGTCTAGTGGTTCTAATGACGAACGTTATTACCTAGCTCTTTATTAAATATTGCGGAGGCAGTTTAATGTTGGTCTGCAAAGTATTTGGTATTCACAATATAAGTTAAAAACTTTATTTCGCATAATGCGACACTGCTCTTGCTTAAGGCACAATTTCTGTAATCACTCTTGTAATGTCTTGACTTATTAAACACTTTCTGTAATTCACCGAATTTTGTAAAAAAAATTGTCATTATAATGTTGTTTCTTGTTTCAGTTTTCTCCATTGAGGAAGTTCCTTCTGGCGATTTACATGACGTTGGTCCTACTTTTGGTGGTAGCACTTATTGTAATAACGGCCCTAGCTCCTATTGGTGACGCGATACCAATTCTCAGTTCAAACTGAACCCACTGCAGCTAGGATTTTATTGAGAGAATTAACTTGACGTACCAAATATAAATATTTCACACTTTTAACACTAATGACTGATACCATATATCCGGAAATAAAATATTGTACGAGTATATAAAATTTGCAATAATCAACATTCTTAGCTGTAAGTTATGTTTCGAATTACGTATTATAATTATGTTACTTGATGTATAGAATGTAGGAATTACCGTTTTTTCACTAAGTGAAGGAACTTGTTACATATTGTATATTTCTGTTACATTGATGTAGAAATATAATTTTATATAACGTTTTTTTATTTTTTGATAATGTGGGAATTTTGTTTGTACTTGCAGTTTTATTGGGAGTTGTTCCAATCACAGTATTTTAAGAGTACATTGAATTTTTAGTTTTTTCTTAATTTATTACATGTACTTAACGTCTAATGTAATATTTGTGATTAGTTATATTTTTAGAGTACTTTTATACATGTATACATATATTTATATATGTTATTGCGTTTGTAAATAAAATAATTTTTATGAAGTTTTTTAATCATTATAAATCTAATCTATAATATTTACCATTTTGTCATTTTTCATTTCAACAACATATTACTACATTATTTCTTTTCGCTCTGTATTTATTTATTTATTTACTTTCAATACACTGGCCTAGCCAAATCAAATACAAGAGACAGGAAAAGACAAAAATTGAAAACAACAATAGACACCTATAGAAAAAATCAAATACAAAAAGTACGAATGATAATTTTTTTAATAACTGAATAATTAGTTTTAATAACTGATAGTATCATTTATAGTTGGCCAGGAGCAGGTTCAATATGAGATTCCCATTTACGTTTAAAGTATTACAGTGTAGTACAACAATCCCGGGTTCGATCGAAAAAAGAAAAATAAACGTAGTTGTGGCCAAAAATATGTGAGCGTCATAAGGAATACCTACGTTATATACATCTATTTTTAATTGACCGGAAGGCGCTGGCAACTAACTTTAAAGAGGGGAAATATGGTTTAATTTTATAAAACAAAAGCAGAATAAATATTCCTAACTTTATTATTTATGTACAACAGTCTTCGAATTGAACATGTGACAAATAGAAAGAACAACAAAAACATTAACAACCATTTAACACAAAATGAGAGTGCCAGGCTCACCTAGAGCTCCTGTGGGGAAAGAGCATGGCTGAGAAACCCACTATCGTTGTTCCAACTACCCAAATATAAATACAAAACAATCGCTAACAAAAGGCACAAAGATCCTTTGCTAATGATAATTAAGACCTGACTTATTTAATGTGTCACTAAATGTCACCTCACTCGAATTAGACATACACACTTCCAAGTAAAACTGAAGAGGTTTAGTGTTAGTTAGCCGGCAGGGCCGGAAGGTACTGGAGTCCCATACGGGAGGCAATCCAGCTATAGTTGAGATTTCGGAAGATCTGTTTTAGCAATTCTTTTTTTGTATTTAATTATTCTTTTTTTTCAGATTCGTTCCTCACGGGCGAAAATGTTAGTGAATTCAACAAGGCCCTTATATGCGTCTTGACATAAAGTGAGCACAAGAAATGTTTTATTACTTGTTTTTCGAACAACGTAATCATGACAAAACAAGTTAAATGTGAAACAAAGGAGTTGTTATTGCAATATCCGGGCAGTCACGACAATATATACATATTTTAACATGTAATAAATAATGAGCAATCTTTAATAATAATTGTAACAATTTTACGTTAGAAAAATATACGCCCCTGAGCATAAGACAATGAAGGCTAAACATATACAGAATTATTATCATGAAACGTCTATAATCATCACAATCATAAGATTACATAGAACAATTAACAATAAAGTACTTAGAGAATAATTACCTGCAATTAATACCGGTTAACACTTTTAATTTTTCATTATTTTGCCACACTGCCCGCCGATCGTCTTGCTACCCATCTCCACACTGTTTTCACTTCGACTACCTATCTTCAACTATTTAGGCTTCCTTCCAGAATTCCCCACCTAATCGTCTGTTTTTGCGCTTCCTTCTACCAACTGTCAATATTACGTTTTCATTATTGTGCAACACCCATGTAACAGGTGACGTCGAAGTTGATACGATAAGTATGGTTTTGCACAACAGATCAGTTAAATTTTACGGAACCCTTGGGGGTTGGTTCTCCAAAGAGTCTGAAGCAGTGTAGACAATACTAGCCTATACCATTTAGTGAGAAATACTATGTCACTTAACGTTTATTTGTTGAGTAGATTTGTGCTTTGTGCAAAAATAAAAAAATTTGCCAGCTGATGTTTTTCCAAATTTCCACATGTTAAAAGGTCTACCAATGGAATCGAAACATAGCTCTCGCTTTTAACCAGGATGTGCAATTTCAAATTTCCTTTCCAGTTACGGCCTTGTTAGGTTATATTCTATATTAATTTGATGTTCTTAAATTGACAGCCTGTCCTGCAAGAGAATATTCAACATGCCCATCACCTGTTATGGACTTAAGTCCCAGTATTCACAATGTTCTACTTACATCCACCTCATCAAAGTCTGCTTAGCTGCGTTTTCGGTAATGCTGAATGTTGGCTCTGGAAAACAGTTTCAGATACTTCCCAAAACAATCCCAAAAAGCACAGTTTAATTATCTCAGTTCAAGTTCAACTGTCTGTTTTGGAGCCATCAGGCCAATAGAAGTTGTAATTTTGTAATAATTCTCCCAAATACCAAATTATTTTGCTCATTTTGGCCCTTGGTGTGCTTTCATGGGCATGCTGCCTGCTGATGCTGATTTGCTTCTCAATCTGCCATTGTATGAAGTGGTAGCAGATTTAACAAAACTTTCAAGGTTGCTACTGGAGTCGATATGTATTTCTCTTATAGTGGTCACTAATACATCTTCCAGGTTTTTCTTATTAACTAAACATCGATTCATTCTTGTTAAGCCTTGCATCTAGTGTTAGTCTTAGATTCGTGATACCTCCCATTTATTGTATAATCTACACTGAAATAGTGGTAATTACTCTCTTTTTTACTGAGTGAATACTTTAAAATAAAAATATATATTTTTTTAATGTTCATATTCATTTTTAATTGGTCAATTTTCTTCCATACGCATTCTTAACCCGGCCATATCACATATCATTTTTCTTGCCTGTGCATCAAAATACTGGCGAGAGGCATTTTGATTTGTGTCCGTCCCAATTTTTCTGTTTTATTAATCATATTTCGCTCATGGTAAGTAAAATAGGTACTCTCTAAACTATTTAAATATGATATAAAGAAACGCACCCAATACGTTGTTACTTCATAAACGTTACATGTTAAGCTTAAAGGGAACCTTTAATGTGGATATATCAATTTACATTCTACAATTTTTTTTGGTTTGCGTTCATTAATTATGACACTGATATTATCTCAATTAACATATTTGCTTCAGTTCCCAATGGTTCTGGTAGCAATTGTCTAGTTAAAGAAAAGCATGTTGTTTTTCAAAAGTTCAAGTTCTTAAGAAAAGCTCTGTTTCCACAAAACAAAAATAAATAAAAATATACTTCATCCAACACGTATATATGATACTATAATTTATTTGGTTTTAAAGGAATAAATGTAGCCTATAACTCACTAGTGAGTTATAACTCATAAGTCACTAGTGTCTTCTGAAACCCTTGCCCTTGGTTACAGACACAATTTAGGTTGACACTCTCATTCTTTGTAATATACAAAATTAGCTAAACATTTCCCAAAGTGACTTCACACTAGTACCATAAATAACTATTATAAAAAGCTTGTGCAAGTTAATTTTCCCAATTTTGACTTATATGACGTAATCCACGAGTGTCACATCAAATTTTATCCAACTTTCATAGAATTTCGTTTTAATAATAAATAAAAGTAACTTAAAATTTCAAGTTGTTAATGTTAGAAAAAGTAATTTAACGAAATTAATGTATATTTAAATATTACAAAAGATGTGAGTGTCAACCTAAATTGTGTCTGTAACCAAGGGTTGTCAGGAAACAAACAATATTTTTTGAGTTGAAATCAAGTTGAAATCATAAAACCAAGACTGAAAAAATGGAAAATGTGGAAATTCCATCTGAAATTTTAGAAAAAGCTAATGCGGCTACTGCAGGCATCATTCCGGAGAAATCAAAATCTATACATATACAACAAAGAACTGAAGGAATTTCAAGATTGGAAAAATCTTAATTTTTTCAATTTAAGTGAGAAATTAGCTCCATCCACATTGTGGACTAAATATTCCATGTTGAAGTCAACTTTGAGAGGTTATAAGAACATTGAAATTTCTAAATTAGGAAGACTAGTGGCATTGCTAGTCTAAGCACAAACATTTTCAACCAAAAAAAACCCAAGGTCTTAGAAAGAGAACAAATCGAACAATTTTTGTGTGAAGTCCTAGACGAAGATCATCTTATTTATTTATTTATTTATTTATTTAGTTTCATTGCCCAACAGATTACTCCAATTACAGGACAATATTACTACACTAAAGTATATAAATAACAAAGATAGATAAGTATACAACACAAGACATAATTAAATGTACATACAAGAATATAGCATCAGGTTATAATGCAAAAAATAAAAGCAATTCGTATACTACTGATGTAAAACACTTACGGCTACTGCAAATCTATCCAATATGACATTTAACCCATCAAAATTAATATCACATGTACCAGAAATCATATTAAAATTATGCAACATATTATAAAAAGGTGATTTAATCAATAAGTCTGAATTAGCTTGTGGCAAGTGAAAAGTAGAGGGCTGGCGAGTTATAACAGGTGTAAAATGATATATTAATTTCTGCAATAAATCTGGTGAATCAATTCCAATGTGTGTCAGTAAATAGAGGATTTTCAAACTTTCCTGCATTCTGCGAAGTTCAAGAGAGGGTATATTAAATTCATTTCTAAGCAGCTGGTGATCATAGCCCCTTTCAGGATAAATACCATACGTTTTAAAATTAAAATTTTTTTAAAATTTTCTTTGTACTCTCTCCAGGTTTAACTTGTGTACATTGTAAATAGGCGACCATATTATACTGCAACTAGCTGACCCGGCAAACGTTGTCTTGCCATCTTGTGGAACTGTGGATGGAACAAAATAATATAAAAATCGTATAAGGGTGAAAATTTAGAACTGTATGTATTTTTCAATGCTGAATCATGAAAAAATAAAAACAGAAAATTTTGTCCAAAAAAAAAAAAAATTTTTGGGTGGACCACCCTTAACATTTAGGGGTATGAAAAATAGATGTTGGCCGATTCTCAGACCTACTCAATATGCTCACAAAATTTCATGAGAATCGGTCAAGCCGTTTCGGAGGAGTACGGGAACGAACATTGTGACACGAGAATTTTATATATAAGAT